AACCAACCCACAGGGGCAGTTCTAGCCTGTTCCATAGAGTCACTCTGAGTTGGAATCAACGTGATAGCAGTAGCTTTGGTGTAGAAATTCAACATTAATGGCAAAAGAAGAAGGAAATATTAAAGTAAGGACAGCGGAGATAAAGGAGGAATCATTTTCTTCTCATCCCAAAGACCCCCGTTTTCCCTACCATTTAAGTTCCATCACTCTGTCAAGTCCCTTTTGATCCGCAGTGGGATGAACCATTGTTCTTCTATGTATCTTCTACTTCCTTGAAGTGACTGGCTTGGAAACCCACAGGGGCAGGTGCACTCTGTCCTGGAGGGTGGCTAGGAGTCAGAATCCACTTGCTGGCAGGGAATTTGTTTTTTAAATGTGTCTATCAGAACTAGAAATAGGGTATGAGGAGTGAGGCATTTTCTCAGGCACAAAATTTAAAGAAGCATTGCAGTCTCAGTAACTAAGTAATATTTTAATGCAAGATTAAAATATCAAATTAGCACATTCTGATATGTGGGGCCGTCTCCTGTTTTTGTGAGTACAGTTTTAATTATTCTTAGTGTTTATCTCTAGTACTGCAATCAAACAGTGGGAACGTCAGGACATTACTCATTTTCATATTCCTCATTTGCCCACTGCTCTATTTTTAAGCATAAGGATTCTTAATACATACAAAAAATGAAATTGTTGAAGGATTTTGTAAGAAATTTGTGCAAGAATTAGGAATTAAGAATTTTGTAAGAATTAGGGAATGAGGCATTTTCATCATTAAATTCAAATACAGCAAGAGACTATCAGGGAATGATACGTGTTAATTAATGAGACCACTACCCAACCTAGTTATCCCTAGGTAACACAGTAAATTCCATAGCGTATCCAATGAACCTACTATTAGTAAGTAAGAGATGTTTTCAGAACAATTTGAAATATCTTCAAAACCTCACTGCCATTACGTTGACTCTGACTCATAGTGATTGGGCAGAACAGAGCAGAACTGCCCGGTGGATCCGAGGCTGGAAATCTTGATGGGGGTAGAAAGCTTCATTGTTTCCTCCCAGAGAGCCGCAGGTGGATTTGAACTGCTGACCCCGTGTCTAGGAGCCCAATGCATAACCCAGTATCCCACGAGGGCTCTTTTGTTTGAAAATACATGTGGTTCCAACTCATAGCCTCCCCGTGTGCAACCGAAGGAAACCCTGCCTGGTCCTGCACCATCCTCACTGGTGTTCTCCTGTTTGAGCCCCACTGTTGCAGCCACGATGTCAGTCTGTCTCACTGAGGGCCTTCCTCTTTATGTTGCCCCCTCCCCCACTTTATCAAGCATGATGGCCTCCTCCAGGAACTGGCCTCTCCGGGAACATGTTCAAAGTCTGTAAAACAAAGGCTCGCCAGTCTTGCCTTGCAGGAGCACACTGGCTCTAAGCAGACTCCTTCTGAGACCAATAATTGATTTATTCTTTTGGCAGTCCATGTACTATATCCTAATATATCACCCCCAATTAAAGGAAAGTACAGGTACTTTCCTTTCTCAAAGGTACCCTGGTGGCATCTATGTTATGAGTTGGGCTTCAGTTCTGCAAGGTTCATAGTTCAAAACCACCAGGCAGTCGGGGAGAGAGGCGGCACCTTTTATGCCTGTCAAGAGCTATAGTCTGGGACCCCCACAGGGGCTAGGAGTTGGAAGGGACTCAATGGCAGTGAGGATTTTTGTCTGCTTTCTCCTTCCTGATAACCTATCTCTTTCGCGATCTTTCCTTCTGGGAAAGGATGCTAGGACTGCAAGCTAGTATTGGTTCTAGGTAGATCTGTTTTGTGGGACAGGCACAGAGCAAGACAGTCGCAACCATCAGCTCACCTGGAATGAAAATATTGTGGTCAGGGAACAGAAGTCGCTGGAAAGATGTCATCAGACCAACCTGGACATCATTTGAAATGTCCGATAAGCCATAAGCCATTTTTTCCCCCTAGTTTTCTTTTAATCATTTTATGGGTGGCTCATACAACTCTTATCACAATCCATACATCCAGCCATCCATTATGTCAAGCACTTTTGTACACTTGTTGACATCATCATTCTCAAAACATTTGCTTTCTACTTGAGCCCTTGGTATCAGCGCCTCATTTCCCCCCCTCCCTCATGAACCCTTGATAATTTATAAATTATTATTTTGTCATATCTTATACTGTCCGATGTCTCCCTTCACCTACTTTTCTGTTGACCATCCCCCAGGGAGGAGGTTATATATGTAGACCCTTGTAATCGGTTCCCCGAGTCCTGGTACATATTGATGACTGTTCCTCAGAAGTTTGTCCCATATTCACAATCCCAACACATCTAAAATGGGAAAGTCCCCTTTCCCAAGAGTTTGTCTCGCTGATTTTAGCCCCTGCTCGCTCCTTGCTTGATCACCAAAGTAAAGCTTCCCCTCTCTCATGGCCATCTTGCAGTTTTCTTAGCCGCCAGAACGCCTCGGTGCTAACACCACAAATACCCAGCAGTTCAGTAGGATGAACTCCCTTCTCCCTTCTCTTTGACTAAAGCCCCTGCCCAGCGTGGACAGGTGGGGAATTCCTCGACTACTTTCCTTTCCTATAGCACTTTGCCCTACATAAAGTGCTTTCGTTGAAACCTCACCTTAATCCGTCAAGGTAGGGATTATTGTCCTTTATTTCTTGTGGAGGAATTGAGAAGTTAAATGACTCATCAGAGGGGCGTCCTAAGGGGGAAAATACTGAAATACAAATGTGTTTTATAGAAACCCTTTTCCTAAGTCTTAAACAAAACAAAGACAAGGCAAAGAGAAAAAGGAATCCTCTATAGGAGGATGACCATGAGCACGAGGCCGGAATGGATTCTAAAGGATTCACAGAAGACAGGAAATGGTCACCGGATCAAGGTTGGCAGCAAGTGGCAGCAAGGGGCCTTTGGATAAACATACTGCTGCGGATTAGACATGTTTACAGGATTGGTCTGGGATCCTTCAGACCACCATGATCCTGGTATGGCTCAGGAACATAAACTCTTTAAATCCCAATTTTCATTAGGGACCTGCCCAGGTAAGGCCCTGAGGGTGAAATTGCCTATCCCTGGGCTGGCTGGGGCGTCACAGCAATCAAACACAGTCTGCTTGAGGACAGAGCATTTTATATTGTCCTTTAATAGTCAGAAAGAACTCAGTGGAGCCCGGATCTGTGTGGAGACACAAAACATTCAGGGC